TTTTTTTTTTTTTTTTTTTTTTTGGCAGATCTTTGGTACTTTGGCAACCTTCTCTTGATCTTCAAAATTTATCAGTGAAGTATTGGTGATTGACAGCTTTCTCCAATATTTGTGTGTTTTGAATTGATCTCCGGTGCTTCGAAGCTTCCTACAGATCTCAAGAACTTTGGTGGACCGGTGCTTGGTAGCTTTCTCCGATCTTCGTGTTCAACACTTTGCATTGACGATCTCTGGTGCTTGAAGCTTTCTCCAGATCTCAAAAATTTTGGTGGACCGTTGGTGCTTGGAAGCTTTCTCCAAACGTCCATGTTTGACAATTTACGAATCTCCGGTGCTTGCAGCTTCATCCGGATCTTCTAGTAAATTTGGTGAAGTATTGGTGCTTGAAAGCTTTCTCCAATCCTCAAATGGATGACATCATTCAACTTGACGGGAAACTTAAAACTTGCCCCTCAATCTTGCTTTTTTTTATATATATATTTTTTTATAACTGCCCTTGAATCAATAAGTAATTGAAATTTACTTATTGGATCAAGCCAAACACAGCTTTGAGGACTGCTTTTTCATCTTTGCCCCCTTTGGATGTTGATGATTGTTTAATCAGATCCGTCTTCACGATTGGCTATCGTAAACTCCATCTCATGAGCTCGAGACGCCAAGTCTTGGAATGTTTTGGGTTTGATTCCTTGTAAAATGTAAGGAAGATCCCAATTCATGCCTTGGATGCATATCTCAACTGCCAAAGTTTCGGACAAATGATCTTTGCATTGAAGGCTTAATTCTCGTCATCGATTGATGTAGTCCACAACCGGTTCATCTTCCAACTGGTTGGTTTGTGTCAACTCAGTCATGCTGACAACGAGCCGAGTGCTGAAGAAGCGATCAAGGAACATTTCTTCCATTTGCTCCCAACTGTCGATGGATTTGCGAGGTAGATCTGTGTACCAATCAAAAGCAACACTCGTGAGAGAGCGGACAAATTGCTTTACAAGAAAATCTCCAGAGGTCCCAACATTATTACAGGTCTCTATGAAGTGAGCAATATGTTGCTCGGGGTTGCCTGTCCCATCGAATTGCTGAAATTTCGGAGGTTGATAGCCGCTTAGCATTCTCATCTTATCAATCCTCTTGGTGTAAGGTTTGCTATAGCGACCATCTTCGTTGGCGTCTCTACCGAGTTGTTGTTTAATAGCATTGGCTATCATCTCTTCGATTGCTTGGAAGCTGAATGAATCACCATTGGGCCTTTCATTTTTTGAACTTAGCTTTGCCTTCGTGCTAAGTTCCGACTCGCTGCTATCATCTTCACTTTCTTCAATTGGGCGTTTCTCGAGTCTTCTTTCGAGTGCATCAATTTTTTCACTTTAGAGTTTGATTTGTGCTCCCTTTTCTTCGTTTTCCTTGACGAGTTTCTCAAGAAGTAGCTTCATATTAGTTAACTCCTCCTTGATGGTGCTCGCTTTGATTGTCATGACATTTACAATAACGCCATCTTGTACATTGTCCATTGTTGTCATTCTTCTATGTGCGGAAGGTACTTCGTCAATTCGATTTCTGGAGAAAGAGATGAGAGGTAGAAATGGTCCCACCGAGCGTGCCAAATTTGTAAACACAAATTTTAAATCTGTAAAATATAAATTCAAAATAAATACAATAAAGAATTAATTTTATTAATTTGATAATTTAGGGTAGAATCTCTAATTTGCTCCTCTGATTCGATCTCCACTTTATCTTTGACTTGTTTCACGAGCTGAGTTGACTCTTGATTGAGAGCCGACGAGGCTTGATCTCTATCGAAGATATCTGATGTAGACCTTTGACTTGGGTTGTTGATTGAGGGCCGACGAGGCTTGATCTCAATCAATGAAGATTTGATGTAGAGGTTGAACTGGAGTTCTTGATGATTTGATGTTCTTCTTTCCTTCGTGTTGAGGGCCGTCGAGGCTTGATCTCTTCCACGAGTGATCTTCTAGAGTAGAACGGCACGTCGAATGCTTATTGTACTTCTTCTAAGTTTTGAGAGGATTGCTTTGGAGAAGTTTAGAGTATTCTATGAAAGGTTTTCTTTGGAGAGGTTTTGAGTATATAAGAGGCTTTCTCTGTATTTTGATTCTCCTTGTTTCCTCTAGTTTTTTCTCTCTGTTTTTCTCTCTTTTTTTCTCTCCTCCAAATGAACTAGAGAGAGCTTTATTTATAAGGTAAGGGACTCTAAGGATTAGGGTTTGACATACATTAAAAATTGGGCTTGACAATAACCCATTTATGATGGTCTAGCTTATATATTGGGTTTTATAATTTAATTAAATAAAATGGGCTATTTTAATTTATTTCACCCAAATTAAATAATTAGATTAATAGTCAAACCATTAAGTCAACAAATTGACTTTTGACCCATATAATATCCGATGAGGCACTAATATAAATTTTGTGTGCCTACAGTCTTACCGTACTCATAGAAAATCACCAGAATCAGCTGGGGTCCTAGACTTCATCTTGTATCATACGTGAGACTGTGAGTAAAAGTACCATATTAATCCGATCCATACGAAGGCATACCATGTCCAGTTTATGTATCACTGCACTACTAGAAAACAGGTCATTTTTGACGGAATTTTTCCGTTGGAAACACCCTGAATTCAGTCGGAAAAGCCCTTTCAATTCCGACGGAATTGGTTGTCGGAAAACCTTTTGTAGGAAAAACGGCTTGTTAGGAAGTATATACTACTCGTATATAGCCATATAGATGCCTCAAAATAGTAATCACAACTTATTTTCTAAGTATAATCGGAATACCGTTATTATATCACAATAAATTTCAAAACACAATTAGATTTAAGTTTAAGATTTCTTTTAATAGCCCTACCAAACCAAAGTAGTTATTGTGCATTGAGATAGAATCTAGACAATGTTTATTGTATGTGTGAATCTAATCATCATTATATTATTCTTCCTCGTATTGGGGAAAATAATGTCGGCAGCTCAACATTAGTTCAACATTATTGAATGAGAAAATATCATGTCGGCAGCTCAACAGTACTGACAGAATATTGCTTAATTGCAGCTCATGGTGTTTTGATCAAGGTTAGTATTGGAAATCGTCAAACGGGCTAGTACCGCAGTTTATTAGTTACTCCTTCTGTCCAGATTTAGATAACGTTGTCCATAATACTGGTATATCCGTATATAAGAGTACTCACATCACTGAGCATTTTTTTTGCTCATGAGCAAAAATGATGAGCAAATTTGTTAAAAATGGTTCTCTATCAATGAGTTTCGGGTAGTTGTGAATTCGTCCCATGTCCCGACCCGAATATCTCGGGTACCCGGAATGAGTTTCGGGTAGTTGTGAATTCGTCCCATGTCCCGACCCGAATATCTCGGGTACCCGAGATATTCGGGTCGGGACATAGGGTACCCCAATTTCTTTCTTTTTTTTTAAAAAAAAAATAACATTATACTTACTTGTATTAATTTTTGGTATTTATACTTGCTGTAGTATAATTTTTTTTTAGATAACACAAATTATAATAATTGATTTCCCAATTCACAAGCAGTCAAGTATTCCATCATCAAAAATAACAAAAACACAACGCAAAAAATAAAATAAAATTTATAATTTTTGGGAAAAATGTAGAAAAAATATCCATGGAATTAATAGTTTAAGGATTGAATCTTTGATGCGAAAAATAAACAAATAAAAGTGGTTAACAAAACTTAATGAAATTGGAAAATAAAGAGGAGAAAAAGAATTAGAAATAGAAGCTGACGACGACGCATACGGTGCTTAGCTGAATTACAGTTCGACGCTTAAGTTCACGAGGGTAATGAGTTATCCTTTTTGTTCGGAGGGTAATGAATTACAGCAGAGCTCCTCAAGATCTTCTCGTCGACAATTATGCATCTCCATTCAGCACTTGAATTCTGATTAATTACGCTATGGTGCTCTGCTAAATTACAAACTTCGCTTGAATTCTAATGATTGTTCATATTTTGTCAAAGGGAAGGAAGGAGGTAGGGAATGAAATAGATGCAAGAACAGAGAGAGAGAAAGGCAGGAAGAGAAGAGTAAGAGAGAGAGGGGCAGGAAGAGAAGAGAGGCGTTTGAGAGTGAAAACTTAACTAGGGTGTTCTGAATGTCTAAAGTATAAATGGGTTGGGCTTATTTGAGGGAGGGTTTTTTTTTTTTATTTAAGATATCGGGTAATCGGGTACCCATGAATTTAAAAATGCGGCCCATGTCCCGACCCGGATAACAAGCAATTTTCCCGGGTCGGGTACCCATCCCGGAAAAACAGTTTTTTCCCCCAAATTTCCCATCGGGTATTTACCGGGTCATTGGAAAATCGGGTCGGGACAATCGGGTCGGGTTTTTTTGAACACCCCTAAGGGCCTGTTCATATTTACTGAACTGAGTTGAACTGAACTGATTGGAGCTGAACTGAACTGAACTGATTGGAACTGAACTGAACTGAACTAAACTGAAATGAATATTTTATGAAAAAGGGAAATTAAGAGCTGAACTGAACTGAACTGATTGGAGCTGAACTGAACTGAATTGAAAATAAGTAAATATGAACAGGCCCTAAGTGTGAGTGCTCTAATAGTCATATCATCGATTAGTAAAACCAATTAAAGCTTGATGGAGTTGGTACGGACGTACGGTGTAGATCTTGGTTGAGCCCCACCAACTACATATGCTTGAGACTTGGGAGTTGGGAGTTTCCCTTACCTCCCTTGTCTACTTTCAAGCATTGAATAATATTGGTAATTTATTACATTTAATTTGAATAAGGATGGATAGTGTAGCCTTTAGCTGTAGTACTGCAGACTGCAGTGTATACTTCCATCCATTTCACAAACTAATTATTGCCACTCATTAAGTCCTGGGCTTATCTAAATACTACCTATCATAAATCATACAAAGTCTGGTTAATTAATTCATGTAAACAAGTACTTTACTAAACAAACCCTAAAATTTTAAATACTTTGTAATATTTATCAATATATATTTACAAATATAAATATTCAGAGACGTGAAAATAAAGTGTAACTAATTATGTAAACCGCATTAATACGAGTCATAGTGCTGAGTTGTTGACAAAGGACCTAGGTCGTTAATTGTTGATGGTCCTAAGGAATTTATACACTTACCAAATAATCTGCAGTATTAATTACAAAGGGGTAGGTAGAAGAGACATAGAGTTGCATATATAAAAACAAACTAGTTTACCATTGAACTCCATCCCACAAAACAAAACGAAAAAAAAAAAAAAAAAAAAACAAAAAAAAAAAAAAAATGGGGGAAATTGAAACAAGGAAGTTAAACTTAAAAGTGTTGATGTATCCATGGTTTGCCATGGGACATGCAACACCATTTGTTCACCTTGCTAATATACTTGCCGAGAAAGGTCATAGTGTCACTCTTTTGCTCCCAAACAAGGCTAAGCTTTTGTTACAATCTTCAAATCTTTATCCATCTCTTGTTACCATCCAAACCATCACTGTTCCCCACGTCGACCCACTACCTCCGGGCACTCAAACACTCTCGGATATACCTTTAAATCTTCAAACCCACCTTGCCACGGCCCTAGACCGTTTTCGTCCCGAGTTTGAGTCCATCCTTGATAAAATCAAACCTAACCTTGTTGTCTATGACTTTGCCTACTGGGTCCCAGAGGCGGTTGCAGCCTCTGGGATCAAGGCAAAGTGTCTAACTTATTGTGTAACATATGCCTCGATCCTGTCCTTGGATATGGTCCCGTCTCGGGACCCACCAAAGGACAAGACTGTGGTCGAGGAGAATGCATGTGTTGCATGTAATACTCCCCCTGGCAACCCTACAACCACTGTCACGCCTTCAGTACCAAAGAAGCACCGCAGCTTCTTGGACGAACCCCGCGGTGAGGGGGTTACTTTCTACCAAAGGGTCACCACTGCACTCAAGTGTAGTGATGCTATTGCTATTAAAACCTGCCGTGAGATTGAAGGTAAGTATTGTGACAAGTTATCCAACCTTTACAACAACAAACCCGTCCTTACAGTCCTAGATCTCCCCGAGCCTAAAGAGGAAAATCTAGACACTCGTTGGGCCGAGTGGCTAGGCCGATTTGCACCAGACTCGGTAGTATTTTGTGCCTTTGGGAGTCAAATCATGCTTAACTTGGCCCAATTCCAAGAGATCCTCCTAGGGTTTGAAATGATAAAACTACCCTTCTTAGTCGCGTTTAAGCCCCCCATAGGTTATGCAACCGTGGAGGAGGCATTACCTGAGGGGTTCGCCGAGAGGGTGGGTGATCGAGGGGTGGTGACGGGGGAGTGGGTGCAACAAACACAAATACTAGCACACCCCTCGGTAGGATGCTTTGTAAACCATTGTGGATCAGGGAGTATATGGGAGTCAATGCTGAGTAAAAGTCAAATTGTGTTAGTCCCACAATTGGCAGATCAAAAATTATTTAGTAAAATATTGGTTGAAGAAGTCAAAGTGGCAGTCCAAGTAGAAAGAGGTGAAGATGGATCATGGGTCTCAAAAGAAAGTTTGTGTAAAGCTGTTGAATTAGTGATGAATGAAGAAAGTGAAATTGGTATTTTGGTTAAGAAAAATCATGAAATTTGGAGGAAGAAACTACTAGATCCCGGTTATATGCGTGGTAACATTAATAGTTTCATCAATGATTTGGAATCCCTTGTCTTCGGTTGATGATTTATTGGTCCTTTTTATCGCTCTATTTATAAAGGTTAGGATTAAAAAAAAAAAATTTGTTGGTCCTTTTTATCGCTCTATCCATTGTGTGCCTCTAGTTTACTCTATTGTAATGGTTTTAAATTAATTAATGGAAAAATAATATGAGTACGGTGTTTTTTTATTTATAACTAATTTTAATTACTCATACCATTTTGACTTTTATGTTTGTCCATGCGCTACTTGAACCGTTGATATCCTTTAATTATCAAATAGAAAATATTAAAATAAAATATGATCTGATATTTTGAGAGCAAATATTATTGAAAGTGATCTAATTATCCAAGCTCAAAGTTAATAAAAACAAGGGTAAGGTGATGTTAAATTTTGTGGCCTCAAAGCCACAAGGTAATTTTTTTAGTGCATTTAACACCTTGTAGCTTACCTTTATACATTGAATATTAGATATGTTTTGAAGTTATAAAGTACTCCTATTATGCCATGGTCAATTAGTTGTAACATATTGTAGCTTAAAAGAAAAATAAAAATATAAAATATCGTGGTTTTTTTATCATACACATGTCATCATAATTTAAGTGGATAGTGTTTTCCAGAAGTCTAGATTGTTTGAGAAAATCAAGAAGTTTAGTTTGTTTGAGCAAGGTGGCTTAATCTCGTTAGCTGTGCTACATCAATTTTTCCACTTCAATGGAAGATACATGCTTGCCATTTTAATTAATTTGCAAGCAAGTCTTTTTTATATACCATTGAAGATAGTTAGAGCTAGGAACTTGCTAGCAATTTAGAAAACTCCATAGCCAGTTTGACTATTGGAGCTAAAATAAAATTTGCTTGAGAAAAAACTTACCAAAAAGAAGGCATGGTGTATTAATAAATTAAATCATAAAAGCTAATTAAGGAATCAAAACTCATTTAAATCACAAGTTAATAGCTAATTGTGGGGCATAAACTAGCTTAAAGAGATGAGATTGGAGTTGCTCTTACCATATCTCCGCCAAGCTTGCATAATTACTTTATTTAATTACCTATTTATTATCTTGAATAAATACATATTTTTTCCATTATCATTTAGATGAAACAATTCCACCTATCAATTCAAAATTTCATTTGCTAACATTTTTAATCATCCATAATTAAAAAAATTTTTAAAAAAATGGGGTTGATATTGGAATTTATAGATCAAGATGGAAAAAAAAAAAAACAAAAACAAAAACGTGACGAACTTTTTTCCTTAGGAAGGAAAAAAAAACTCACCAAGAATAGAGATTGTATAATATATGAAGTGTAAATATTGTAGTGTTGTATCTAACAAAACAATGGAATCGGAATTGAAGCCATATATTGCGTTCCACAAATATGATTTTGTAGTTCAACATATGGCAGAATGTTTTTAAGTTGTTAAACACAACCTTCTATTTAGTATGGAGTAATATTTTGTGGAACAGAAATATATAGCTCATCCTCATCATAAGGCAGAGTACGTGTTTGTACCATGCAACTGGAATTGAAGCCTTTTTACCATGCATGCACTATAGAGGACTATATGTACATCTGTAGAAGACTGATGATAACTGATGAGGCACCAAGTATAACGATGACTGTATATTTTAAAGCAATTTACTCTGTTTTTTTTTTTTCGGAGAAATTTCGTTTTTATTTGAAATCTTTATATTTTCTCCGTTTTTTTAATATTGCACCATTTGATTTTTAAAAAGTTTCACAAATATTACACCGTTTTTATTTTAGAACAAAAAATATCTCTGTTCACATTGCAAATATCCAACATATCTTTACCATTTTACACTTAGGCCCTGTTTGGTAATTAAATTGTAACTGATTGTATTAGTTGATTTGACTAAGTGGTTATATTAGTTGGTTTTAATCAACTGATTTTGTAAAAGTGTTTGGTAAATAACTATTAATTGTTAGCTGTTTTAGGGTATTTAATAACCAAAAAGCTAATTGTTCAATAAACTTTTTTTAAAAAGCTCTTATAACTAAAAAGAGCTTTTTTTAGCCCAAAAAGCTATTTTAATAAGCTACTTATCAAATATCCAAATTAGTTTTTTATATTGGTCAAACCTCTAATTAGACAAAAATAAGCTAAAAGCTTTTTAAAAAACTCTACCAAACAAGGCCTTATTCTGAATTTATGTGTAGAACATCCACAGCAGTATGGAGGATGTCCTTGCTTGCAAATATGCAATAATATAGAGCAGGTAGCTATCCAATGTGGAGCCCCTTTTAGATGGTGCGGTAACTACATGGCTGGCCAGAGCCGTGTAGCTAAGCTAGATTCAATATCTTTAATGTAATACTTTATTCGTTTCGTAATAATCGAAACACTTTCTTGTACATTCGTTTTATAGTAATTGCAACACTTTTTTATTTGGTAAAAATCCACTACTATTGTATTACTAGGTTAATTCCCGTGTCATGCACAGTCATAATTAAATTTTACAATAAATAAATATGGTGTTAATTCAACAATAATTTATCCAAAAAATTTATTTGTAACAAAATAACTTAATTTAAATATAAAGATTATTGAATTGGATTGTATAAAAAAAAATATATAGTAATAGAAACTTAGAAGATTTAACGTTTGTATAAGAAAATTAAATTATTAGCTTAGGTAATTAGGTTAGTACCCATATACGAACTCATATACATACATTTGTCCTTAAATTTTTGACACACTTTGATCGGCATAATATGAAAATTTATTTGAGTTCATTTTACTTTAGGATAATTAGTATTCCGTAATCAACTTTTGAAATATATTTTAGTTTGCGGATAATTAGAACAATTAGATTTAATTTTCCAATATATGTTATGTACGAAGTATACTATAACAAAATTATTTTGTTCTTATAAGCGTTATGTATAGTTTTAAGATTAATACTTCGTAAAAAGTATGCTACCAAAATGATTTTTCTTTAAAATTGATATTGATAATATTATAATAATCTTGGAAAACAATATATTCCAATACCTTATTTTTTTAAGCTATGTTAGCATTTTTGTAATTAAAAGTTTTCTAGTATATATAGAATATATGTAAAAATTTTAATTGAGTAATATTGGATTAAATATGGAAATGACTATTATTATAGGTTATAAAGTATATAGATGTCATTAAAATATGACAAAAAAATAAAAAAAAGGAAAGGAAAAAAAAGGCGGGAAAATTTTTAACCAGGAAATGACAAGTGTCATTCCTGGTTTCGCCTTTAGTATAAGTTATTGATTAAATTTTTGACACACTTTGATCGGCATAATATGAAAATTTATTTGAGTTCATTTTACTTTAGGATAATTAGAATTCCGTAATCAACTTTTTAAATATATTTTAGTTTGCGGATAATTAGAACAATTAGATTTAATTTTTCAATATATGTTATGTACGAAGTATACTATAACAAAATTATTTTGTTCTTATAAGCGTTATGTATAGTTTTAAGATTAATACTCCATAAAAAGTATGCTACCAAAATGATTTTTCTTTAAAATTGATATTGATAATATTATAATAATCTTGGAAAACAATATATTCCAATACCTTATTTTTTAAAAGCTATGTTAGTATTTTTGTAATTAAAAGTTTCCTAGTATATATAGAATATATGTAAAAATTTTAATTGAGTAATATTGGATTAAATATGCTGTCAAAATGGAAATGACTATTATTATAGGTTATAAATTATATAGATGTCATTAAAATATGGCAAAAAAATGAAAAAGGAAAGGAAAAAAAAAGGCGGGAAAATTTTTAACCAGGAAATGATAAGTGTCATTCTTGGTTTCGCCTTTAGTATAAGTTATTGATTGATTTCTCTTTTTTATCAATCCCATTAGACCCTGTTCACTTCACCTTAAAAAAATAATATTAAGTAAAAATAATTTTTGTTCGGTAAAAATAAGTTCAGTTATGTAAAAATAATTTCAGTTCAATAAAAAAAGTGCAGTTCAGTATTTAAAGAAGAAATATAATAGAAAATCAGTAAAAATAATTTTAGTTAAGTAAAATTAATTTCGTTTCAGTAAAATTAATTTAAGTTTAGCAAAAATAATTTCAATTCAGTACTAATAAACTTCCTTCACTCAAACTCAACTTATATGAGGGAGTAAATAAGTAAACTAACTTCTTGACTAAACACCGATAATAAATGGGTGAGAAATAAATTCATGAATCATATTCAAAAATTCTAATTATAGCTCTTAATTTTAAACATTCATAGCCTTGCTTATTAAATTCACGCTTTCTTGATACATTAAAATAAAATTACTTCCATGATTCATATAAATTCAACTTTTATCTTGCCTCAAATAACATATTCACATGCTTGCATAATAATTCATGCTCAACCAACATCAATTCCAAGCATATAATCAACCAAACATGCTACTAATTCATCAATTAATTCATACTTTACAATACTAGCATGATACTACACGTACACATATATTCTTGTGCACATACATACCTTGAATAATGCCTAATTTCGGTCATACTCGCTAGAAATCACCTAGCTCGAAGCTTCCTACAAATAAGAATACATAACTATAATTAATCCACTATTCTCACAAATTTCCAGCAACTATAATACACTTTAAACCTTACTAATCACCCCATTTTAATGACATAAAAGCCATAAAAACTTTTATTTAAGTGGGTACTTTAAATCCTTTCAAAAAGACTTAGTTTTTATGACTTAAATAAAATTCCAGCATATTTATTTAATATAAAACATCACTAATAGACTAGAAAATCATATTTAAATCATTAAAACCTTTTCCTCTTTTATGGGTACTCAAAACCCTAACACAATAGTTAAAAAGAAGTGTGTATAATAAATTTCAGCATTAAATTGAGGGTTTTTAACTCATTAAAAATATGTTTAAATCATTAATTAATCAATAACAACAATCTCTGCTGGTCGTTGGTGGTCGTTGGTGACACCAATGGTTGCCGGTCGTGAAGGGAAGAGGAGAGAGAAAGAGAGGCGTAGAAAAGAGAGAGAAAATAAAGAGCAAACTTTTGGGGTTTTGTGAAATCTGACAATTATGATTTTAGAGTGAAAATTCTTGAGGTATTAAAGTATTTATACTCCCCTATTAAAACAAAAACTCATAATTATTTGACTGTCATTACTAAATCTTACTC